TTATTATCCTGGTGCCTAAAATTTGTACCACATACCTGAAAAACGCTAACATCTACTTCCAGCCGCCATAAGCATTAGGGAAAAAAACCCAATAGGTGACCGGACCTGCGGCAGCTTCTGTTTGGGATTCCTAGTGACAGAGCACCGCCGGTGTTGTGATCGTAATCTTGCTGAACTGATTGCAAAGACAATGTTTAGAGGTGGACTTTCTCACTTAAAAACTTCTTAAAACAACTTTTTAACCACTGATCACAGCAAATATAGCAAAGCCACTCTCTGCTGTTGAACACAGGAGCAGCACAAGCATCTGGACACATTTTACTGGACGCGCTTCAGGAGCATCAAATGGCCTTAATGAGTATAAGCATCAAAAACAATACAGCAGAGACGTCTTTGCTCCTGAAAAATTAGAATTACATATTTTACCTATATGACCAGCTGTTGAAAGAGAAGTGCAAAACAAGCAAAGGCAACCATAGATCATTCTACTTTCTGTTTTCTACTAAAATGTAGGACCATCAATTCTCTTTGCCCAGTAAGAGGGAAGAAAAAGTAAACAAAAAAAGTACAAACTAGGAGAAAAAAGGTCTACATCAGCACAGCTTTGACCAGGTGGAGACAATTCATGAGGGAGCAGCATTTTAAAACAGACATGGAGATTTCAGGCTTTCTGCTGGACATGTGTGTTACTTCAATATAAAAGTAATGTTTGTTTTAGGATTATGTTAGAAACGAGGCAGTGTAGTCCAGAAACGGCTCTGTCCTACCAGCAGTGACCGCCAGCTGGTTTGTTATCTGACACTTGATAAGCTCCACTGCAACTGTTATCAGTCGCTGTTTTTCTTCACAGAAGTCAGAACAGCAGGTGACCATACTCTTCTTTCAGCTCTATTCTCTGAGAGACTTTCCATTTGTTTTTCATCATTCCTTTTGTCAAAGGGGATGGAGGTTTATGTTTTCCCTTTAGTCAGAAAGAGTGATACCAGTTTCCTGTCACTAGAGCCGCAAGCATTCTTATGAAGAAATATATAAAATAAAAAACACAGAATCGTAGAATAACAGTATCGTTCAGTACCTCATCACCTGACAGGACCGTTCAACCCATGCAGGATGTGACATGATGACATTTATTACACTGTTAGCTTCAATAATAGTTACTAGGCACTTGAGGCAAGGTACCAGGGTACACTCCCTGGTTGTCTGTAATTCATTATCGAACCACTAGATCGCAGTAAATCTGATACACTGGGGCTTTAAGGTTGAAAGTCAGGCATGTATTCAGACCAGGGATTTCAGTCCTCGTTGTCTGGTGCCCTACACCTTTAAATATGAATCTGTGCTTAAACACACTAAAACCAAATTATTAGGTCCTTTGCAGGAATGTGGAGATCTTGAATTCAACTGAAGGGGTAGGTATGCCCTTTGATTTGGACCTGGGATGATCTGAAAGGTGCAGGACAGCTCTCAAGGACTGGTGTCCTTTTGAAATGTATTGTAATTCTTTGCTATGGAAGCCAACAGACTGTATTTTAAAGCCTTCAGCTGATCTGAAATGCTGCAGCCAGTTTTAACGAAAATTTAAATGTCAGATTATATCTCTACTACCCTAGCTATTCTTCACGGCTTCCTGTTGAATCCAGAATAGAATTTAAAATCCTCTTCCTCACATATAAAGTCCTAAATAACCAAGCTCCATCTGATATCAGAGATCTGATTGTTCCTTTTGTTCCTAACAGAGCACTTCGCTCTCAATCAGCAGATTTCCCAGTGGTTCCTAGAATTTCTAAAAGTAGAATGGGAGGCAGATCTTTTAGTTATCAGGCTCCTCTCCTGTGAAACCGACTACCAGCTTTAGGCCCCGTCCACACGAAGTCAAAACGAACACGAAACGCTAATATTTTCCAGAACGTTTGTCGTAAAGACGGAGACGTAAAATAAATGTGATCGACCACACGAATGCATGAAAACGCTGCAAAATGTATGCCAGGCCTGTAAGTGGCGTTGTCGTGCCAAAGCAAAAATAGGCGACGAAATGTTGGGCATGCGCACTAATATTTATTCATGGTTGCCCTGCGGGTCCATTTTCGTGGTTCAGTCAAATTCAGGTGCTGAACTATGTCGTCGATATTACTCTGTTCTTCCTGGAGATATTCCAGAAGAAGAAGATTCTGTTGTAAGCCCGACAGCAGGGTGAGTAGCATGAGCAGCAACCATTCAACACAGTACGGCGCCATTGTTGTTGTGATACTGTGTCGCGCATGCGTGTTTAGAGGCGACGCTATGACGCATGCGTGTAAAAAAAAAAATGCGGTTAGAGCTTAAAGATGGAAACGCGAAAACGGCGTTTCAGAATCTTCCCACTCTGAAGGCTGAATAAAAAAAAGATTGTTTACAGACCCCCGAAACGCCGGCTTCGTATGGATGAGAGGCTGGTTTGGTGAAAAATTTGTGCGTTTAGGCCAGGGTTTGACTTCGTGTGGACGGGGCCTTAGTCCGTGAGGCAGACACCCTGTCTACTTTTAAGACCAGGCTTAAAACTTTCCTTACTATGGTACTCTATAGTGAGAGTGGCTCAGGTTATCCTGAGCTATCTCTATAGTAATGCTGCTATAGGCTTAGACTGCTGGAGGACATTGAGCCTCCTTTTCCTCATTATGCTTAATTCTATCTGTATTCTCCCATTCTTTTCCTGTTTGGCCGTGACTCCATCCTGCAGAGAAACATCAGATGTGCTTCTGACATCTTTTTTTAGTGTTTAGTCGTTTCCCTGCTAGACATGGCAATGGGCTTAGCTTTTGCTGTGATTAACTCGATGTGCTTTACGGTTCTTTTCTAATAAAGAAAGTATTTACAGATCAATGCTTCTGTGTTTCTTTCTGTATGTCTGCTTCTATCTCCTTGAACCGCAGACGGCTTCGACTGAAGCCCCCAACAGTGAGCCTGGATCTTCTGGAGGTTTCTTCCTGTTCTTCTCCTCTGTTGCAACATCCATGCATGCTCTGTGTGAGGGATTGCTGTAGACTCACAATACAATGCTAGCGAATAACCCCTGTCACCATATGGAGGAGTTTGTCATGGAATTCTATGACTTAATGCAATCAGCTGGTTTTCCTTAGATAAAAATTTTTTAACCAATCTGACTGGATGATCCTATGAAATTGTTTCGATAAAGTGCCTTGAGATGACGTGTTGTGAATTGGTGCTGGATAAATAAAGTTAATTTAACTGAATTTGATTCAGGCGTGTTGGAGCAGAGAAACAACTTAAACTTGCAGGATGAGGACTGGCCTTAAGTCTATCAGTCTATGTGTAAGGAATCAATTCAATGTATCGGTTTCACTTGTGAAATGTTATTAAGTTTCTACGGATAATTAATTAATCAATAAATATAGAATAACTTTTCTTAGGTGCAACAGGGGAATTAATACCAATGCTACAAAAACTTTGTGCGCTGTGAACTCTGTTGCCTCTGCTGTCCCCTACAGACAGACAGCAAAGCCTCCCATTGCATGACAACCAGCAAAGGAAATGAGATCATCTCTTTCAGTCCCTTGCCTTTCTCTTACTGACACGGTTTTCAAATTGTTCACGTTGTTTTTCCTGATCCCTGTTGACCTGCTGGTGATTGTACTGAGAACTGTGACCGCACGGCAGGGGGCGGAGCTGTTGGGTGAGAAACCTGCAACCTGCACGCAAAGGTACTGAGGACACGAACACATACTGCACCTGCATATTTCACATCAACAAACTGTATGTGAAAATGGATGTGGTTTGTTTTCATTAAAGGAATTCACACAGAATCCAGCAACAATGAACCAAAATCAAAAAAAGACCACATGCTGACATCTGTCCAAGTCTGAAAATTCAAATTCGCCTTTTTTTCTTTATTTGAAGTCCAAACAGTCCCTCTCGGTGGTGTCTGGCCATTAACCTGCCTTCCACGTCTTTATATCCAATTGCTCTGACCTCTGACCTCTTACATTTCCACTATGCACATGGCAAATGGAATAAGGCTGCATCAGTATAAGGGAATATTTCCTACATTCAGTTTTTTTTCTAAGGTGCTGAGAGACCAAATATTTAAAGCTATGTAACTAGAGAAACATATGGGTTTAAATGGAGGGAATCTTTACTGAGTGAAGTCAGTTTTGTAAGAATTTTGTTTCAGACTTAATCAGTGACTTAGCATCCTCTGCTGGCGGAACCGGGTGAATTATGTTTTATAAGGCAGATGATGGGGAAAAAAGCTTTTGGAAATATACGGTCTGTAATTTCTGAGATCTCTTTGAAAACCTTTAAAATAAAAATCTGTAGGAGTTTTGTTGTATTGTATTTACAATGAAAACACATATATCTCAAATTAAGTCAATTAGTACAACTAATCCTGGTGCGGTTTCATTATTCATGCAACAAAGCACTACAATTTGAGAAAAATAGATATATTTGATGCATCCAGCTTTCAGATTATTGGATTTATTTATTTATATTTATTTTTTGTTCTCTTTTTTAATACAAACTCATATTTAATTTACAAAAAACAGAACATATTTAAATACACCTTTAATGTGAAATGAGCTCTTAACTTGAAACTGTTTGAATAAAAAAAATAAACATTTATTTCTATGAAATTTAATGTATTTAACCTGTTTACATGAGTGAAATGTTTACAAATTTAAATAAAATGATGAATATAAAAGTGTCATTAAAATAATTCCTTTGTCCGTTTTTTAGGTGAAACCATGTCAGTGACAATCTTCTGTATTTAATTTTTGCATCTTTTCATATTATCAAAGCAACAGATGCCAACAGTTTTTAGTTTCTACATCCTTTTTCTGAGCACAAATGAAGCTGTAATTATCTAATGAACAATTATGACCCGACAGCACTCTCATGAAATATTATCTGAGTTTTATCCCAGATCGGCTGTGGGTCCAACCTCAGTGCTGGACACTGCAGGCAGGTGCAGGAAAGGCAAACAGTGCAGGTTCTGATTTGTTTTCTTTTCTTTTTTTGTAACTAATTCCCCTGCAGGCAATCCATCAGTGGCAAAGCAGAGCTTCTATGGACGGACACAGGAAGGGGAAGAGATGTAGACGATAAAATCTATCGTTTGAAGTGGTTCAGCTCAAAGGCAGAGCTCAGAAGCTCAGACAGAAGGGCTCATGTTGTATCTTTCTCACATGATGTTCTGCACACACAGGGCTGGATCACACCCACAGCAATGAAAGCCAGTCAAACGGTGTAAGAGAGAGATTTTAAATGTCTGTTTTCTCTCAGTTTCACAGTTCGAAGTGAGTAGAGTTCCACCAAGACTCATGGCTACGTTCAGTTCAGCCCGGCTGTGAGCTAAGGTTTAACTGACAAGTTCAGGTGTTGGTTTTAAAACAGAGCTCAAAGGTAGGCACTGGTTAGGTCTGCTAGCCTGGAGTCTGTGAATGCTGATGTAAGGGTCAGGTTTTAAAATCTCCTTGTCCAGAGGCCCATTCTACAAAGTCTTCTTCAACACTGGAATGAGGAGGATTGTCCAGAGAGATTCCCCTCCGTTCTCCAAACACCTTCTCCTGAAGCTCAATGATGTCATTCCTGATGTCAGCCATCATCAGCAGAAGGAAGTCAAAGGAGCCGGGTGGTCCCTGCAGTCACACAAAAGGTGGGTTATGCAGATCAATGGTAAATGTTTTACTCTTACATGCACAAGGACCATAGCACATGAAAAGAGAAAAACTCTGCAGACAGCGCCATCTACTGGCCAATTACTATAAATTCACAAATATTTTTATTTTTTTAAACAAACACCGACCAACTGTGAGAAAAAACTCTGCATCACACTAATCTTTCTGGGTAACACTGATTAATAACTGCAGTTTAATTAGGCTGCCAAAGAGAGGACATCTATAAGGACACTTGAGCCAAAATGGAAGTGCATCAACCATTCTCATGATAAATGCAGTTTGCTTCCTATCATATTTTCTTTAGCATAGCGACCTCTTCACATTCCTAACCACTGCAAAGTCGCTATACTGTCTGAACGATGTTTGTGAGACAGGATTTAGTGTATAGACACAGCCCACCTCACAGAGTTAAATAAAAACTCATTATTTCCTGGCATGTACTCTGTCTACCACACCCTTATGTATACATGTTCATATTTTCTAGGTTTTATAACAAAGAGCTTCAGCCATTCCCTACATTTAAGTAACGCTTGCTTTTTTAGTTCCTTTCCAGAAGACTCTAGTTCCAGTTTGACAGTCATTCATATGCTTGTCTGTGAAAAGGAAAACAACAGTAGGTCGTCCGGATTTAGCACAGTAGTTCGTACTCTTTATTCTACCCTGGATAGTGCTTTTACTGCTGACCCCTCGAAAGGAAAGGATAAGAAGGTAAAGTCTACAATTTGATGGTCGGAATGAGTCTGCCCCTGTGTTTAGGTATCTGCTACCACTTTGGACCAGCAAAGTGAGAACTCTTGGATTCACTAGTAAAGACAAGGAAATAATCAACCAACTAGATTAGATCAGACATCAGGGAACCAGAGATATGTCTGATCAGGTAAGGGTCGGATCTGTTTGGTTGCCTAAAAATAAATTTGTACTTAAACAGCTCTCCAGTTAAAAGATTGCCAAAAACTGGCGCTCTGGGTCACATGACTCTTTCAGCGACGGATCCAACCAGCGACGGATCCAACACTCTAAAGTTACATAGGAAAGGTTTACAAGAAGAGCAGCCTGCCCAGACCATCAGTATGCGCAAAATGTGGAATGTTGACCTTGAAAAAAACCTAAGCAGTGTTGCTGTAAGCTGATCATGGATGACATAACACCTGCAGGGAAAGTGTGAAGCCACTATCTAAGTACAAACAGGTATGATACATCTACCATGGACAGCCAATATCTTAAAAAAACAGGAAGGATTGGAATAAGGCTTGGTGAACATTTTAGATCTAGATACTAAAAACCCTGAGCATTGCTTCCAAGCAAAGTATTCTCCTTATGGTACTCACAGGTGGGCCACTCGGTCCTGGAGCGCCACGGTCACCCTGTTGGAAGAAAACAGCAACACTTAACCACCTTGTCTCAACTCTATGCAGAATTCATTTTGCATAGGGTATATTGTCACACATGGACTGCTTTGCTAGTAGATGTAATTTAAATTAAGTCCAAAAGAAAGACCTACAAAACTACACCAATTCATTCCTGCCACCCAACAGCCGCTGCTTGATAAATACATTATAGTTATTTCTGGATTTTGTTGAACCAATAGGAAATAAATCAACATAAAGCCAACAAATCTAAGACTGAAATAACTTGTCTATATATTCTGTTCTTTAAGAACAATCAGAAGATTTAGATCCTGAAATGCTGCCATAAACTAAGTGAATAAAGATGAACTAAGCTTGATTATCATGTGTAAGGAGGATTTTCCTAAGAAGAGATAATACACAAAACATATCCAATGTATACTACATAAGGATCTGCATGTTATGTCTCCATTAAGATAAACATGCTTAAGTAGTAGATTGTTAAAAAATTTATAAATTCACGATTTGGCGCGATATGGATGCAGGCCAGAGCATTCACAACAGCACACACAGGTACTACTATCTGTAATGCATTAACGTAACACAGACACAGAGGTCTTTTTCCCAAAGCAGGTTTAACAAACTCAGGCTTAAATCCTTAACTCTGACTTGTTCTAGCCTGGGCTTGGAGACTCTGAGTTTTTGGTTTTACAACAGCTGGTGTGAGTTAGTTTAATCAACTCTGAGTAGGTTCAGTCAGATTTGAAAGCATGTGTAACAAGTATGAAAATGAATTATGATTCAACAAGTCACCATGACAGCAGGCAACAGGAAGTGCCTATTTCACCCCACTGGAACTAGAGATTTTAATAAATAAAAAAATAAAAAAATGTGGAGAATGTGTTTAAAAAACAGAGAAACAGCATTACAACTGAAAAGGAGAGGAAGATGGCAAAGGAGAAAATTGTTTCTCGAGTTAATGTGTAGGTTTATATGTAATCTGGTATGGCAGGCAGTTTTGACATTTATGTATAGGGTTGTCTCTGTTGGGATCCAGAGGCTTGCCCACCAGAGGGCGCCGAGGATCCCATCCTGATTGTTTTTACTTCTGTTGGGATCTGGGGTGCTGTCTACCTTCCTCCACCAGAGGGCGTACTGGATCTCCTGAAGCTGGAGCTGACTTCACCAGCTGCTTCTCATCTGCTCATCAGGGGACCAGTACTTAAGTGGGCTGTGGACAACACTCTGGTGCCAGAGTGTTTTGCCAGTTATGGTTAGCAAGCCTGAGCCAACCTGCCTGCCTGAATCTAGACTCCCTGATAACCTGAACCTAACCTGTTTTTGTCCTCTCTGCTTCTAGGAAGAACCTGTCTGAAAATAGAAACTCTGGAAGGGTTTCCCTGTCTGAAACCAGTCTGTCTGATCGGGGAAGAACCCTAGGAAATTGAACCTGTCAGCCCTCAGCCTGCCGTCTGCCTCTGGACCCTCCAGGTTTCCCACTCTGCCACTCTGCTCAAATCTCAGAACAGGTACAGACCTTCACTCAATCAAACCAACAAGATTGCCCGGCTTCTGCTAACCACTCTGTCCCCCTCTGCAGAGAAAATCAGTTGTGACCAGTCCTGGACCAGATTACCCCAGAATCAGTTCTGTGTTTCAACCAGTGTATTTCAATAAACCTTTTGAACTTTTTCCCCTGTCTCCGGTTGTGTTCTGCATGTGGGCTAGCAACCAAAACCCAAACATGACAGTCTCCTGTTTCTCCATTTGTAGAAGATATGATTATTCTTGGTTAAATTCCTTTTCCCAATTGTAACAACAGATATTCTGAATTACATTTTTGCAGCAGAAGCTGATTTTCAGAAGGTAAAGAAAAATGAAATTGTACCAGTATGAATCAAGTTTTATATACTTAGAAATGTTTACACATTTTAAGTGGCCATTTTGACATTTATTCGCTTAACTGAATGTCTATTTATGATATCTAAAAAACATTTCTTTCTTAATTAAAGTAATACAAATAATGACCAGTAACAACAGAAATATGGAGACTTGAAGTTTGTTTCTAGACATCCAGAAAGTTTTGTAATTTTTCAATATTTTCACAAGGGAAAATATATTTCAGTTTTCAGATAAATAAACACAGTTTCAGACAAATATCAAACGACCTGCCACAGACAGTTTTAATTACAATAAAATTACAGGGAAACTATTTTACTGGTTGAATGGTAGTGGATCAATGTTTTGTGTTTAGGTAGGAGCCGGTGAAGATGAAGTATAAAAATGTTGTTCTAATAGATAGGACCTGTTCATCATCTCATGGGGTTCATCCATATTTTCATTCTGCTTTTCATCATGCAGTAAATATTAAGCGGCTGTTTGACTGCAATTGTTTTCTACAATGCTGTCATCACATATCAATTAACTTTCACAGATATCAAGTTCTGATATCTATTATCTAACTCTGCGTAATTCTGTCTCCTTGAACCCCAGGTAGCCTCAGCAGATGGCCGCTCACACTGAGCCTGGTTCTGCTGGAGGTTTCTTCCTGTTCAAAGGGAGTTTTCCTCTCCACTTTCGCTACAAGCATGCTTAGTGTGAGGGATTGCTGAAGAGTCAATGAGTCGATGCAATCAACTGGTTTCCTGAGATAGAAAAACTTGAACCAATCGGACTGGATGATCTGGTTGAATTGTCTTTGTACAGTGCCTTGAGATGGCTTGTGTTGTCAATTTGCACTATTTAAATACACAGAATTGAATTGTAATGCTGCAAATGTGAGGGCTGATAAAGTCTGGATGTGATGGATTGTGAGGTGAAAATCTGAATATGAATGTATAAATACTTATTTCTCAGTGAATATTGCTGCTCATTCTTGAATAAATTCCTCGTCTAAAGGCATAAATAAAGACATGCTATGTTTGTGTTTTTAACACCTAATATATAACATATCTAGTAAAATATTTTCTTTTTAATGTCTGCACAAAACCATGACACAACTCTCCAAACTAAATTAGGAAATAATACAATGTGATTGTTTACACTGAGTTTACTGAATAAAACCTTCTCCCCACCAGGTTAAGGAAGCAAACAAACTTAGAGTTTTGATTAAATTTGACCTTAGGTGGCTATAACAGAATCAAAAAAAGTTCCAACCTTTAATCCGTCTCTTCCTGGCGCCCCAGGTGGTCCCTGTAGGAGTGATAAGGACATGATGATTTGCTCTTTACGCTTATTTCAATTTCCACGTCTGATGGTACAAATCTGACACAACTATCTAATCAGAAGAACACTGTGTCCTGCTGCTTCAGATCAACATTTTTTTCACAGATAGAAAAGCATCATAAATAGAAAAAGGGAGATGATTCCCGATGTTTTCATGACCAAAATGAGTTTTATAAACTTCACATTACAAATCAGAAATTCGGCTACTGTCAGTGGTGTTCATCTTTGTTTACCTAATTAGTAGAACTGGATGGACTGTAAAGGTAAAATTGTACTTTTTTTGAACATATTTATCTTTACTTCATCTTAAACGTCTCAAAACAGAAGAGCAGTGGAGAAAGTCTTATGAATTTCCAAAACAAACTGAGACAGAAAACAGTGAAGCCAAATGATTTCTTTCTACCTCTCAATGAAGCTTTATTTATGTTTGATTCATCACTTACAATAATGATAAAGTACATTAAAGTTTGTTGTTGTTTTGAGCCAAAAAGTTAAAAAAGAAGAAGCTTAGAGGTAGTAAGTTTAACTCCTCCAAATAAGTGGCGAAATCACTGCTCTTTTATATTGATGCTGGAAAGGTTTTTTTTGTTCTAAAAGCAAAATTTTGGCATAATTGCTGCTTTAAGTGGGTCGCTCTGTCAGTTAAAGGCATGTTTTAGAGTCTCTATACTACAATTAACAATTAATCGATTACTAAACTAGTTGATAGTTGTCGCTTATTCACGATTTATTGTTTCGGCCCTACTTTACAGTATGTTATTTGGATGCGTTATCATTTAATTTGGAGCTATGAACTTTAAGGGAGATAAATGCATTTTCAGAGTACTGTATGCTGCAGAGAAAAGATGCTGCTGGCTTCTCCACTCTTCTGACAAAAAGCTCCCCAACAGAATTCTTTTTGATCTTTCAAAGATTCAAAAAGGTCTGATTTCAGATTTTCTTTTTCTTTCATCTGCAGGTTTTTTATTGCAGCCGTAGTGATTAACGATATCTGTGGTTTAGAGAAAAACTCCACTGTCTGTCTGAATGTTGTTCCATTAATTCATGTCAACTTTGATTCCACTGTAAGGCTCCAAAACTTTTACTGTAATGAAGTAATGCTTGAGAACTGAAGCAGGAATATTTGGGTCATAAACTCATATGGTGATCTAGTTTTATGATGAGCAGGTGTGCAGGATTTAGGTATTGATCTAATGCTCTGAAGTAGAGACCTAAACCCTAAAGCAGTCATTGTTACACAGATGGTTTTTCCTACCACTGGACCCCTGCGGCCTCTCTTGATGTGCCTGAGGTCTGGTTCTGGTCCCATAGGCCCCATGTCTCCCCTCGGACCCCTTGGACCAGGCGGACCCCTCTCCCCAGGCTTGCCGTGGCTTCCTGGTTCTCCTGGATGTCCTGGTAAAGACAAACAGATGACATTTAATAGAGTAACGAGGCTTTTACCAACGTACCAAGAACATTTCCCCTCCAATAGTTGAATAAATAATCCTCCTTTGTCATCTCTTCCTTACCTGGGAGACCAGGAGCCCCTGGAGGGCCAGGTAATCCAGGCAGACAGGCGGTGTCCATGCTTTTCCCCCCTCGAGCCGGTTTGTCGCTGCTGTTAGCCAAACCAGACACCTAAAAACACAACAGAGAAAGAAATTTCTATTAATGTTATCCTTCCCGGGCTGCTCAGTGGCGCAGTGGTTAGCACTGCTACCTTGCAGCAAGAAGGTTCTGGGTTCAATTTCTGGCCCAGGGTCTTTCTGCATGGAGTTTGCATGTTCTCCATGGGCATGCATGGGTTCTCTCCGGGTACTCCGGCTTCCTCCCACGGTCCAAAAACATGACTGTTAGGTTAATTGGCTTCTCTAAATTGTCCTTAGGGGTGAGTGTGTGTGTGAACGGTTGTTTGTCCTGTGTGTCTCTGTGTTGCCCTGCGATGGACTGGCGACCTGTCCAGGGTGTACCCCGCCTCTCGCCCATTGACTGCTGGAGATAGGCACCAGCACCCCTCGCGACCCCAATTGGGACAAGCGTGTAAGATAATGGATGGATGGATGGTTATCCTTCCCTGCTGCCTGATGTTCATCCGTTACTCCGTTTACTTTGTTCACAGAAATTTATTCTGGAACTGTGACGTTAAGCTCGCTTTTCATCAATCAACAAAAAACGTTTTGGTTAAAGTTCTTTAAACTGAAGGGATTTCCTACCTGGTTGTGTGACTGTGTGTTTCCAAGCCGCAGCTTGAGCTGAAACAGGCTGCTTTTCATGTTCATGAAGTCCTGACAGGTGAACGAGCAAGAACCAGCACTCATCAAGGTGTCGGACTTTCCTGAGGAGCTTACTGCGGGACAAAACAAAGACTCTTTCATTTTCTGCCATGTAGCGCACTATATCAAAACACATCAACAAAAAAACAAAAACAAAAATAAAGCACTCAACAGCAATGATTTTATAATAGAAATGTTATAATGTTCTGAACCCACTTAGCATCCTGATTAAACAGTTGGGTCTTGAAATCCAACACGGAAAATTAAACTGAACGATTAACATTTATTTTTAAATGCTCGAAGATAAAAAGATTTTGTAGAAATATTGGCATAGTTGACCCATAATTTGGGTCATGAGTCGTCTCTGATAGCCTTTCGTTGGTTCAAGGATAAGAAATGCTGGGTCTCTAATTTAGAGTAATAGACTTCAACAAACATTTAACTTTAATGGAAGATATTTTAGTCACACAGTCCTGGTTACTGCTCACTTCTGCATTATATGTCTCCACAATCTAGATTATTAAACCTTCAACACTATAATGTCTTTGTAAACAGACATCAGGGCTAAAAGACGGAGACTAGACAAAGGTAAAGAATTTTTTTTTTCAGATGTCAAAGTAGTTGTTGCTTATAATAATAAAATTAAATATCTTACAAACCTCTACTTGTGTTTTTAGGAATATGTAAGCAATGCATTTTTTATTTACTTTTCTTTTTAAATGTTTAGTCCTGTTTCTCTCTTACACAGTTATGGGCTCAGCTTTTACTGTTACTAACTATCCTTTATCCCTTTTCACGTAGAAACTGGCTCAGAGATCATCTGAATAAACAGTTTCTTTCATAGAAAATCACATGGGGAGCTAGTTTAACTTTTCTAACATAAGTGTTTATAGAATAGTTCTTCTATGTCTCTTTTTGTACAGTATGTCTGCTTCTGTCTACCTGATCCCACAGTCGGGCTCGGTAGATCTGCTGAATCTTTTTCCCCCAGTTAAACAGTTTTTCCTCTCCACTGTTGCTGCATGCATGCTTACTGTGAGAAATTGCTTTCAAAAACAAAATGCAATTGAATATCTGCTGTCGCCACAAGCTCTTCCAAGAGAGGCGAGTCCTGCAAACTCAATATCTCGATGCACTCAGTTGGTTTTAACCAATCTGACTGGATGATCTGATTGAATTGTCTTAGTAAAGTGCTTTGAGGTGACATGTTCTGAGTTGCATCTATTTAAATAAAATTAACTGAATTAATCCGCTTCCTGATTAACATTTTTATATTACAGTAATCATGCTCTTCTAAGTTGGTCCAAATGCTCCAAAAAGCATTAATAGTTTTCATTTTTGAGTTTTCACAAATAGAAAAAAAGGTTTTATTGTTGTGTTTAAAGCACTGAAATTTCTGTTTATAGTTTTAATGTTCAAGGTGATGGTCAAATAAAGTCCAGATTCTTGGAAAAAAAAGAAACAAGAAAAACATAGTCAATTTGTTTGATGCCAATTAAGTTCAAACACGAGGGGGGGGGGGGAGGGGGGGGGGTAGACCATTTTCCCTAGAATGACTGATCAGTGCTTAGTAAATAAGCCCATGTTCGTTCCTAGTCATTGAAATCATCAGTACAGGGAACTGCTAACTTTGGGTCCATCAGTAAAAATAAAAAACAAATTAAAAGCAAACAATCCTGGATACGCAAATAAGATAAGAAAAGGCACAGCTGTAAAACGGCTTTTAATCCAACTGCTTGTGTTCACAGAAACCAAGTGGAAAACCCCCTTCCCCAAAAAAACAAGTATTTAAAGAAGATTGAGTGTCATGATGGTGATCATTTTCAGGTGAAACACATGAACTCACAGTTCCGCACGGGGATGCAGGAGCGCTGGTCTGGAGCCAGGATGTACCCGGTGTGGCAGCGGCACTGAAAGCTCCCGACTGTGTTCACACATTCATGGTCGCATAGACTTTTACCAGACGCCTCGCACTCGTTGATGTCTGCATGTACATTAAGCAGGCAACAAACAGAGGAGGTACAGTGACATAAAAAACCATTAACAACCTAAACAGATGAGGTTGTGAAGGCTGATATTATTATCTGTTGGTCCAATTTTTTATGTGTATTTCATTAGAGGAACTGATGAAATCAAACTTACCCAGGCAGTAGGGAGACTTGTGGGTACGGTGTCTTTCCCTGTCGAAGCGATAACCAGGGTAACATGTACAGACGACGCGACCAAAGTTATCAGTACATTGCTGCTCACACGGTGACGCCGCACACACATCAACACCTGCAAAAAAGAAGAGTAGACTGACTCGTTCTGATGAAATACATCATTATCACGTTAAATAAATAGTTGTAAATGTTTATTGAAATGAATAAATGTACCATGCAATATTAAAATGTAACACTAAACCATGCAATATAAAAATAAATCATTAAATGAGCCATAAGATAATGAAATACTGTACATCTTTAAAATGATGGCATTAAATAATGTAATTTCTTTAGATATAGATTAACTTACATTCATGACATGATTTTAATCTGCATTTATTCATATTATAATCCTTATTTGTACTGTTAACTTCACCTCAAACTCAGAGGGTGGGACTTGGTTTCTGTTCATAATACAGTGTGTGATTGGCTGCTTCTCACTTAGAATAATAAGGCAACATTTTCAGGTTTTCTTTTGCTTTAAGTCAACTTTTTTTACTGTAAATTTTTACAGTAATTTTCTAAAACATGTGGCCATTTATAACACATTGGGTGAGAAACTCCAACCTCTGAGATAGAAGTTGAGTTGGTGTTAGTCAGTGGGCGGGGCTAACTGATTCTGCTGACGTCTGTAAAGGCCTCCCATCACACCAGACCAGAGCAAGCTCTCTCCCAAGATCATTAGATAAATTGCAGATAAAATTGGGCTATAAAAGGCTGGAGTATCTCACCCAATGATGAGCTGGAAAATATATAACAAAATCTTTTTTGGAAGTTTTTCTGCTTTTCCAGGTATAATACTGATTTTAAAGGTTAAAAAAATTATTGGATCTCAGAAAACATTGCCAGATCATTTTCAGTGAGAATCAGCCAATCAGACATCGGGGCTTCTATGGACGTCCCGCCTACATTTATTTATTGTGTGCCTCGGTGCAGGAGCATGAAATAAACTATTGAATCATAACATAAGTTTATCCACTTTTTAAAGTGAAATGAATATATTCAGCTGAAGACAATTATATGTATTAGTTTAAATAAATTGATGACACATATAAATAATTATTAAAAAGATATGTATCAATTATATTGTGGCACTTATTGCCCTCCATATACTCATCTCTTCATACACTATAGTGAGCGCTCCAGAAGATCATGGGAGAACATTCATCTTAACTGAGGTGATAAAACCTTTTAGCTCTTACCCTATAAACTTTATACAAAACTTAATAGTAACTCACTGTCTATTTAAGCTTTATAAAGCTTAAATAGACAGTGAGTTACTATTTAGTTGTTTTCACCTGGTAAGGTTGCTTAAATTAGAGCAGTAATCCCGACATTGTATAAACACACAGAAAATATTCACTGTAACTTTAAGATGTGCACTTTTCTCTCAATTCATTGTTTAACTGAGTTTTGCTAATTCAGTTCAAAGAGAACATTCCTCTGATCCCTACAGGCCTCATTTCACAACTGCTGAAAGTTTTAGTGAAATGGAGGTACGCAGCATTGTTTTAATCTCTAAAGAAAAGTTTTCCTGGTGTGAGTCCATAAAGCTTGCTTCCAGTAACATGGAACAATTATTATTATGTTTTATTTACTGAAATCAGTGCATCGCTGGTTATTCTCAGGATAGAGAAACAGCGCCCCCTGGTGGTTAGTACAAAGAAGTAAAGATGTGCAGATGTTATTGCTTTAACATTTTAGAAGTTATATTTCTTCATGCATTTTTTTTCAACTTACCCTCTACAAAAGCATTATTTGCTTGCAAAAATAATGGAATAAAGTTCACTTGATACACATGAAGGATCAAAATAAAAAAATATGAGCCTCACAGCCTAACCTGACAAGCATTAATATTGTTTCTAAGCACCAGCAGGGTGATTTTCCACAGACCTGTAGACAACTTCCTTTATTCTATTTCTTCACCTTACAAATGCTTTGTATTTATTTGTTCTTTAGCTAATGATTTTTGGAGGCCCCAGAGCATCATTGCAAAGATCTCACAATAAAAAAAATATAATAATCATAGCAGGAAGACAGTAATTACTGAAAAGCAATTACCAGCTTCCATTGGGGGAACAAAGAAACAGAAGAAGAGTTTTTCCTTCCAACAGAACAACAGCCCTAAATATCCGGCCAAAGCATTAAATTAGGAAACATGTTACTACTTTTTGGAAATTACAACCCTTAATCAGGCATCAAACATTCTTATCATGAGTCCAACTGTAGTTTATGATATTTGATGCACCTTTTTCAAATAGCTTTAAGCAGGACATCTTTTAAATGTTTTAATCATATTTTCTTTTACTTCACATTTCTGCTTTTGATATGTATCATTTGAAATACTCAAACATACACATTTGTGGTTACAGTAAAATAAACTGTATCGGAAGTGTGTATTAATACTTTGCCTGGTACTAAAGTTTGCATTTTTTTTTAGGTTTTCCCCTAACCATTGCAGAATAAAACTTTAAATAATATAATAGCAAAACAAAAAGAAGCATCAAAGTCATGATTGAAGGTAAACATGTTAGCTCAGATTGTGTTTTATGAGCAGATCAGTGTATGGTTTACCTACTTTCAGGAATGCACTGGCCCATCACAAACCTGAATCCATCACAGCACTTCCTCCTGTATCAATAAAGAACAGAAAATTAATGCTTTTACTGTACATTTTTTTAATAAGATCAGGAAGCCCAGGATTTATTTACACAATTAGTTTTCCTTCCAGAGGATAGGAGGGTAAAAAGCAATATAAATCCTTGTATAAGTATCTGTTTATTTTAAGAGCCTAACCCTAACATACTGTTGTAAAGGAGAACATAACAAAAAAAAGAGATTTGGAAAATAAACATTTCCTTGTTTGTGTTCCTATCAGGACACATACATGTATTTATTTGCATGTAATACAAGATATCTGTGGCCCATTTCAATGACTTAACTGGATTTTGCAGTAAAAGCAGCATTTAGCTGAGGTTTAATCACAACATGAAAATTAAATTATGTTTAAAGTATAAAACTGTTCAACAGAACAGAACCAGCTATAAGATGAGTGAGGGAATAGGCAAATAAAACCCTGCTGAGAATTACATTATGAAGCTGGTGGATAAAGTAAACACAGAGTGAACTGCTGTGCTAACAACCGAACGTCTGATAAGAATAACTGCAGAGAGTGAATGCTGATCTTTCCATCTTGAGTCAGAGGACAACAGAGGACAACTAGATGGAGCGACCTACAAATCAGAAACGGTGAAGCAGTGAAGATCTGGACACCAGCCCTCATTAAGAAGCTTTCAGGCCATTCACCCTTAAACGAACTCAGAGCTGCTGTACTAATGCTGTGTCTATGGGGGGGATTTTGTTCCATTATTGCTGCAAATGAAGAGCAGGCTTTGTAAATGGAAATTTAAAAGAAATGACATACAGAAATAAAAACAAAAAATTGTTAATAAAAAAAAAGGTTTAGAGTAACTTTGCTGTTGTTGTTTTTTTTAGATTTTCATAAAAATATGTATTTTAAAACAGCTTTTTTAAACTGTTTTTTAGATTAAGTTTTTTAGGTTTCTTTATTCTATTTTTTTCATATTTATTAGTTAGTTATTTTCTAAATTGTATTTTTTAATGTATCTTTTTTCAAATTTCTTTTTGTCAGGTTGAGTTTTACTCACTATCTTCTTTTCAAAATGCGATTAATAGGTCATATTCCCTGCCGCGGGCTTTCCTCTGGATTGAGGAGCCAAGACACATTTCTATGAAAGGTTATTTTTATTGGTCAACAGTGAAGATTTTTAATTGGCTTGAAGAGAAGAAAATATCTGGGGAATAAATGCAATTCATAGAATTCAATCTGAAAAAAAGGAAGTAAAAAAGGAGTATTTATTGGTTTCACGGGAAGTGACGATTTTGGGGTTTTATCCAATCCAGGCTCTGCTTTCTCACTGCTTACCTCAACAGATGGAGGCTCAAATTTCAATTGGCATTTCTCACAGAGGCTGAAGCAGCGTCCTGCTGCTCCAGAGAAGAGGGGAGTTCAAGAGTGGAATAAACAGCTGATTGATGCGCAACATATTCATGAAATCAGGTGCATTTTACCACATATTTAATCCAGTTTAATGACTACATTTATGAAATTTGACAATGCATATTTTACAAATAATTTTAGGAAATTTCAAAGTGAGGTTTAGCCTCCCTATTATTCAGTAAGAATTTGCCACTGCTGTAGAGCCGTTTACTTTAATAACATCACGTGGTCTTCAACCACGCCGAGCTGCAGCTCTACCGCAATGTAATGCAAGATGGTCAGGCTCTATTAAGTAGCCACCTTGATTTTTTTGCCATGTGGCTTTTTGACAGTTATGCAGTACTCCCAAAAGGTGGAGCCAAAACTGTTTATGTTTGATATCACTCCCAGTGCTGGAATTCTATTTAGGCTCAAAATTGTAAATCTAAACACTATCAGGATGATGGATGGTTGGTAAAATTAAACTTTTTTCTTCATGATAAAATAGTTTTTGGTCATTTTTGCAAAGACACACAACATGACTAAGCACCTTCAATTTTAATTATTTTCATCAACAATAATAGCAAGAAAAGGAAGAAAAGTTCCCCATTTGTGCAAGAAAGAGTTTTTTTTCTTTGTAACCACAATGATTTCAAATGTTTTGGAAGCATCAGTCACCCAGTGAACCCACAACAATCCACCACATACTGCAGATGTTACAGCAAGAAGGAACTGCAAGAACTCAGAAAGTGACCACAAATATCACACATGAACGTCACGCAGACAATGAAGGAAAAGCCAGAAGGCGATTTAAAATGCTGCATCATTCACAGACCACTCTCAGATAGAACGTGTTTTTTTCCCCCATATAACCTATAAAACATAGAGGCTGGCCCACACTGATGAGATCCAGATGAGGACAGCTTTAATCTGCAGCCTGTAGCTGGGAGCACTGAGAAGGTTGGATAAAGCCAGAGGTGGAGGTGAGGTGGAGAAAGTAGAGGGAATGCTAACATTAAGACAGTCACTCATTCAGTCGATCCATCAATCAGTCACTCAGCTCTTCTAAGATGGTTAATGGCTTACAGATGCCAGAAGCTCTTTACATGAATGTATGCAAGAAACAAAAGGTTTGCCTGAGTCTTACCTCCTCTATGAAAGTAAGGAAGTAAACTAATGGATTTGTTCATAGTGAAGAGCAAATAGTGCCACAGTAGATGAGTATGGAGAGATTGTGGCTCGGTCACATGTTAGGGGTTAGTCTGACCCATTTCTGCATCTCAGTTCAGATGTCTGAATTTCTTCCTTCCCATAATAACCCTCCCTTAAATGCTTGAGCTTTTTCCCATTTAGTAATTTTGGCTCTCTTAGGTGTTGTAGGATGACTTTATGTGTTGTTGGCTTGTTTTTTTGTATGTGAGAATGGTTTCAAAAAGAGAAAAAGAAAAACAGAAAAACCTTTTTTAAGAGGTTTTACTCTCTTTGCCACAGAAATCAGAGCCATCAAAGAAGACTTTAAGATATTCTATTCTACGACTGAAGGTAGAAAGCAGGCTTGTCAGAGACCTTAGCTTCATCTGAACGCATATTCTGGTTGTTTGTGCTTAAACAACAATGGTAAATGGCCTATATAGACTGCTGAATGTTGAATAAAACGAAAAAAAAAAAAAACGCTGAATGTTGGAAAAACTGTAAATCGTATCTCAGGCTTATGTTTACATCTGATCACCATTCTTACATTTTATCACTGCTGCACTTTGGAAAATATAAATGTCTTGAGAGCTGTACTGAACGAAATTTCATTTTGCATATAACCTGTGTGTAGAAAATGATAATAAACTTTGTCTAAGTCAAACGACGATACAGAACAATAAAAATGCGTCATTGCTCCTCACTTCAGAGAAAAGTCCACCGAAGAACTAAAGAGAATGTGATCTATAAAAAAAAACTATTTGAAAATATGCAATTCACACAACTCAATCTGAAAACAGAAATTTGATTAATTAAATTTGAAGAAATAAAACCTGTAAAAACATAAATAAATTAAAAATAAAAATAAAAAAATATGAAAAGAAATTTCAAAAAATTAAATCTCAGAAAACACCACAGATACCAGGAAGGTTTTCTTTTATTTAAATTTTTTCAAATATCCATTTATAAGACATGTTCTTTGCTTGCAACAATAAGGGAACAAAATTAAGACCATAAGTTTACTCAGATCCAGAGGGAAAAAATATTTCATATGTAGCTACCTTAAATCACCACAGCTCCAAGTAACATTTCAGATTACAGTGGGGCAAAAAAGTATTTATTCAGCCACCAATAGTGCAAGTTCTCGCACTTAAAAAGATGAGAGAGGCCGGTAATTTTCATCATAGATATACCTCAACCATGAGAGACAAAATGAGAAAAAAAAAATCCAGAAAATCACATTGTCTGATTTTTAAAGAATTTATTTGCAAAATATGGTGGAAAATAAGTATTTGGTCAGTTACAAACAAGCAAGATTTCTGGCTCTCACAGACCTGTAACTTCTTCTGTAAGAGGCTCCTCTGTCCTCCACTCGTTACCTTCATTAATGGCACCTGTTTGAACCCGTTATCAGTATAAAAGACACCTGTCCACAACCGCAAACAGTCACACTCTAAACTCCACCATGGCCAAAACTAGAGAGCTGTCAAAGGACACCCGAAACAAAATGATAGACCTGCACCAGGCTGGGAAGTCTGAATCTGCAATAGGTAAACAGCTTGGTGTGAAGAAATCAACTGTGGGATCCATTATTAGAAAATGGAAAACATACAAGACCACTGATAATCTTCCTCGATCTGGGGCTCCACGCAAGATCTCACCCCGTGGGGTCAAAATGATCACAAGAACGGTGAGTAAAAATCCCAGAACCACACGGGGGGACCTAGTGAATGACCTGCAGAGAGCTGGGACCAAAGTAACAAAGGCTACCATCAGTAACACACTACGCCGCCAGGGACTCAAATCCTGCAGTGCCAGACGTGTCCCCCTGCTTAAGGCAGTACATGTCAAGGCCCGTCTCAAGTTTGCTAGAGAGCATTTGGATGATCCAGACGATGACTGGGAGAATATCATATGGTCAGATCAAACCAAAATAGAACTTTTTGGTAAAAACTCTACTCGTCGTGTTTGGAGGAGAGAGAATGCTGAGTTGCATCCAAAGAACACCATACCTACAGTGAAGCATGGGGGTGGAAACATCATGCTTTGGGGCTGTTTTTCTGCTGAGGGACCAGGACGACTGATCCGTGTGAAGGAAAGAATGAATGGGGCCATGTATCGTCAAAGTTTGAGTGAAAACCTCCTTCCATCAGCAAGGGCATTGAAGATGAAACGTGGCTGGGTCTTTCAGCATGACGATGATCCCAAACACACCGCCCGGGTAACCAAGGAGTGGCTTCGTAAGAAGCATTTCAAGGTCCTGGAGTGGCCTAGTCAGTCTCCAGATCTCAACCCCGTAGAAAATCTTTGGAGGGAGTTGAAAGTCCGTGTTGCCCAGCGACAGCCCCAGAACATCACTGCTCTAGAGGAGATCTGCATGGAGGAATGGGCCAAAATACCAGCAACAGTGTGTGAAAACCTTGTGAAGACTTACAGAAAA